AATTCAAGTTTTATTTCTTCAAAATTCCAAATACAAAGCTCTTGTATTTTCCCCTTGTTCTCTATCTCATGACTGTCTCACCATTTCTCTCAATTTTTTCATTCAAAATTTCCTCCTATTTCTTCTCAATTTTTCTACACTTTTTCTTCTCCTTCTCTTCTTTGCTCTCCTTCTCTTCTTTGCTCTCCTTCTCTTCTCTCAATCTCTTCCTCCTTCACAAGCTGACAAACCCCTATTTATACAATTGAAAATAGAACCCCCAACCCCATCATACTCCTAAGCTTGAATCTAAATTTTAGATAATAACCTAATCCTATTTGGAATTGGAATTCTAAAATCGACTTAGTTCTTCATGCATTTTCCTTCTTTCAAGGCTAAATTCATACCTCTTAAAGATCACAACCCCCAAGTTGAATCGATTTCAAAATCTTTCTCTATGGTTTTTGATAAAGACTTCGAATCCAAAAATTTCTTCATACTGGTGTCATGATCTATCCAAACTTGAGTAGATTTAGGGATAAGCCAAGAAGAATTTGTGAAATTTTGGAGAATGGTTGGTAGTAGAGCAAAAGAAGTCAAGAAGGATCAGGAGTTTTTGAAGGTTAAGGTTTGACTGAACCTTAGCCTTTATTTTTAATTTAGCCCTCAAGCAAAACGACGTCATTTTCCTTGTACACCTTCTCAACCCTTCAAGTTTCATGCTTTTTATAGAATGGTCCATTAGCTTCCAATATTATTATTCAGTCTCAATTAAAATTGGGTTATGATAGTTGTCACTTTTTTACTTTTCTTTTTATAAAAAGAAAGGTAAAGAATAAAAGAATAACCCAATTTTAAGCTTGGAAACAAATAATAAGAAAGATGTCACCTTGACAATGTCTTATTTGAAGGCTTTGAGTTGAATGCAATGTGCAAAAATTTATGCAATCAATAAACCATTTATAGGTGAAGGTTTCATCTTTTTCCTTGAGATGTGGTCTTCATCTAAGATATGACTTTCTAAGATGTGGGATGAAGTCTTCATCTCTTCTTCTTCTTGAGATGCAGTCTTTATCTCTTCTTCTTCTTGAGATGTAGTCTTCATCTAGGATGTGATTTTCATCTTTTCTTCTTTTTAGATGTGGTCTTCATCTCTTTTCCTAAGATGTGATCTTCATCTCTTTTTCTTCCTAAGATGTGATCTTCATCTAGGATGTGATTTTCATCTTTTCTTCTTTTAAGATGTGATCTTCATCTCTTTTTCTTCCTAAGATGTAGTCTTCATCTTTATCTTCATTGAGATGCGGTTTTCTTCACTTCTTCTTTCTAAGATGTAGTCTTTATCTAGGATACGACTTCTAAGAAATGGTCTTCATCTTATCTTTTGTGAGATGCAGTTTTCATCTCTTCTTCTTATGAGATGCAGTCCTTATCTCTTCTTTTTCCTAAGATGTCTTCATCTTGTCTTCTACGAGATGTAGTTTCCATCTCTTCTTCCTCTTAAGATGTGGTCTTTATCTAGAATGTGATTTCTAAGATGTAGTCTTCATCTTATCTTTTTTGAGATGCAATCTTCATTTCTTCTTCTTCCTAAGATGTAGTTTTCATTCAAAAAAAAAAAAAAATCTAAAAAGTCGTGAAGAAGGCAATCTCTTTATGCTTTTGGCTTGTGTGACAATTACTTGACACTAATTTCTCCTTCCTTTTGCAAGCAAATAAAGAATCCATGTGTAAAATAAATTCTAATTAGTATGGTTGTTTGAAGACATGTTCTCATCATATTTGTCTAATGGGAATGTTGGGAACTTATCTTTCAAAAATGCCAATTAGATAAAACCATGATTTGTTAATGATGCTTATATTTCTTATAAGTGTTGAAAGATTTATTCTAAAAAAAAACTATCCAAGAGTTTGTTCACCTATTCTTATTAGAGCTCTTGCAAAGAAGATAGTCGATGAGCGTTTTCGAGTGCCAGAACAAGAGATCATAGATAGACTTAGGGATTTTGAGGTTAGGGGTTGAGGGAACACTTTTCACTAATTTTTAGAACCAAAATTCAAAATAAATTTATGGTAATTATTGGTTATAGGGTAAATACTACAAGAAAAAGAGTTTTTGGTGACAAAAATTTATGATGAATTTTGAAATTGTCATTATAATTTATCACAATGTAACATTTTCTAAAAATTGGTCACATATGCACCCATGTTCAAAGATGAGGAAAAAAATTCATCACTAAAATGATATTTTGTCACTGATAAATTATCACAAAGAGAATACAAGTTTGTGATAATAAAAGTCTACCACAATTGTGACAAATTTCAAAGGCTTTTATCTCTTTTTCTTTTTTAATTTTTAATTCAAAGTTTTGTTATTTGACTTTATAAAATATGAGTTGAATAAAATAATGATTGTATGATTTTAAAGGAAACTCTATACATTGGAGGAGATGTGTTTTGTTAGATATTTTATTTGATGGCTGAATATATAAAAACATGAGTTGACATAAATAATATTAACTACACTAATGTAACAACAAAGAGAGTTTTTTTTATTGTTCTCAATTGTACATGCTCTAACTCAATTCATTATTTTTCTTTTTACCAAAAAAACAAAGTTAAAGTGAGAAAAAAGGATTTATTTTAAAGAATAAAAAATAAAAATTAATTTAAAATAAATTTTAGTAAAAAATGATTATTATTGTAGGAAAGATAGTATCAAGGGAAATAAAATCAATTCAAGAACAAAATTGTTAATTGTAAACATATATAAAAAGTGGGGGAGAAAAGCAAAAGCTCATGTAAAATGTAAAGGGGATAGAATTGGAAAAAAAAAAAATCTAAACCAACGAAAGCCATGTTGCCCTGTCCCACCACTGCCCTAATCCCAACCATTGAGCCATCCTCATCGACTACTAACAAAGCCCCACCATCTCCTACTCTAACCTTCAGCACCTACCAAGACAAGCTCATTGGCCATTCCCACTCCCTCTCAGTTGTTTATTCCATCTACCTCATAATCCCCACAAAACCCAACTAACCATACAGTTGCTTGCCCTTCTAAACCCCTTCAACTTTTGCAACTTCAACCACCCTTGCTATGATCAATGAAGCCTTTACCCACCCCCTATCAACCACCCAACAGAAGAAAATGTCCCCACCATCTCCCTCACCCTCGAGGAGAAAGAGCACATTTATCAACCATGGCACCTCAGTGTGATTGTTAAGCCATTTGGGCCTTGAATGGAATTTGGTTATGTTGTCCAAAAACTCAAGCAAGTATGGAGCTTTGTGAGTGACTTCGATGTCATTAGCCTAGATAGGGGTTTTCCTCTCATTAAGCTGTCTTCAGAATAAGACTTCTTTGCCATCTTCAAGCAAGGACCATGTTTTATTGGCAATTGCTTTCTCTCTGTCCACCATTGGATGCCAAATTTTAGAATCGAATTGGCAACACCCTCCACAATTGCTATTTGGCTGTGCCTACCCCAATTACCAATTAAACTCCTTTCTCAGGATGTCCTCCAACAAATTGGGATTTCTCGTGGCTCATTCCTTAGGATTGATGCTAGTACACTCACGAGTTCTAGGGGGAGGTTTGCACATCTCTATGTCAAATTTAACCATTAACAACCTCTTCTTCCCTCATTGGGCATTGATGGTTTCACCCAAAAAATTATTTATTAAGGAATATAGTCACTCTATTGTTCTTGTCACTATTTGGGACATAAGAAACACCAATGCTCAAGATTGCTCAAATCCAATCAAGAAATCCCATCCCTTCCTGTCTCTAATCCCTCCCTAAATGGCCTGCATGTTGAATGGCTCATTGTTACAAATAGACGTCACTGAAAGGGATTGAAGTTTATTTCACCATCAATGGCTAACCCACTTGAAACAAGCACTACCATCAAAGGTGCGATTTGAAGTTGATTTCATAATTCAAACTTAGGTCAAGCCCCACACACTTTTTAGGCCTAACTCTGTCATTCGACCTCTGCACCTATTCCAAAACTCTTGACCAAATTGAAAACCCATTTCACTAATTCAAGTAAGTCTAGCCTTTCTTTTTTCCCTTCCTACCCCCTACCCCCATTCATTCTTAGCTTTCCATACCTTCTACCTCAAATTTACCACCTGCACCTCTACTCTGTTCCACTTTGACCAATATTGCTACCTCTGATATTTCACAAATTCAAGTTCCCCACACTTCCCCAATTCCCCTTAACCAAAATCCTTTTGATTCTCATCCTATTGTGGTTGCCATAACTCAAAATTTAGTAGAATTTTATTTTATTTTTATTTTAACTAATATGTATTGTTTTGTTTTACTTGTTAGGTTTATTAAAAAAATAGGAGGGGGCAAAAAGGAAATTTTACAAAGAAGATTGGAAAAGAAGATGAGAAAAAGGACTCAATTGAAGAAATGGAAAGTTGGAGGGGTGAAATGCAAAGTCTAGCCCAAAACCCATCAAACCCAATCCAAAACCCACCAAACTCAAACCCAATTACCCAAAGCCCAAAGCCTACCAACTACCCAAGCCCAAAATCCCAAAACCAAAAAATTACCCCAAAAATCGAAAACCAACAATTACCCAAACCCAAGCCCAAATACCAAACCCATTTAACCCAAAAAAAA